ACTCAATAATGTTAATTTTTAACCTTAATTCGCAGTGTTTTTCGAGTGAATATTAAGAGTTAATTTGCCTTAAGGGCTAACGTATGTGGGTTTTGAATTATTTTCCAATATCCGTTATTTTAATTTGTTTTTACAACTTTTATTGGGCTTTTCTTATAAGTAGCCTATATTAGTCACCGGGAATTTCGTATTTTTAGCTGGGAAAACTGGGAAAAATGCGTGAACTTTGTTTGGATTCAGTTGACAACCCTGAGCCGTCATAAGTGAACAAGTTTAAAACTTAAATATTATAAATACAATATTATAAAAAAAATATGTGTTTTCTTGACACTTAAACCTAGTAGACTTTGGATAAAACAGTCCTAAAAAACGTGATATCGGCATGAAAAATACAGGAAATAATTATATGAGAAATCTTTGAGCCTGATTTTGTGGACACCCTGTAAAAATATGACTAAAGATTAGTTACAAGTATAATGTTAACAAATTTTCCCCCTTGACCTGTATATATCATATGTATTTATCATATGTTATTTTGCCATTCTAGGTTTACTTTTTCAATTGACGCAAAATCGTGAACATCTTCACCGGCCGTGTAGACATCATCGTATCGTCTTCGTCTTGCGCGATCGTAGAAAAGACGTGATCATTTTTCCCGCGGTCACGAAAACGTCGTCTAGCACGGTCGCGGTTTAAGAACATCTCCCGCAGTCGTGTAGACATCATCATCGTCTTGCGCCTTCACGGAAACGTGATCGTTGTCTAGCGCGATCGTGGTAAAATCATTAAATTTCCCGACTTTGATATCAAAGTAAAGACAACTTTTTAACCCAACTTTAGATCCCAACGTTGTAAGACCATTTTGAAATTCAATACTAATAACTGACTTTCCCGTTTTCCCCGACTACTAGACACCCTGGTTAATTAGATTTTGACCTTGCAAATATGAAACAAAACCTTCCAATAGCAAGTTTATAGTTTAGCAAGTTTAACACTTGCTAAAACTATGGATTAGTAAAGAAAAACTTTGAATCATTGTAATGAAACTACAAAAGTATAACAAATATATGTTTAAAAAAATACAATAAATAATGGCATTTAAATTAATTTATTGCTTATTATTATTAAATAAGTCAGTAAACTCCAATTCCAGGGAATTCCTCCAAAGTTGGCAACACTACTCCCAACTACGAAGTTGTTATGGAAACGGTCGCTAGCGCTTGATGCTGCAGCGGTGTGCGCCGTAACTACACATTACCCCTAGCGGTCGGCGCCGGAATATACGCTAACCGCAGCACAGCTGACAGTCTATATTTATTTCTTTTAGCGAATTTCCCATATAGGGAATAAGCTATTACCGTAGGTCTCATGGTAAGATTTAGTCCCGGGACCGATTTACTTTTTCATTATGATGTCCCTAGAAGCCAAAAACCCCATCCGTTCAAATTCATATATATATATATTTATATATACAGTAGAGTCTCGCAAACTCGGCACTCGATAACCCGGTAGTCTGGATAACTTGGCCATCACCTGGCTCAGAAAATTTGTGATTTTTTGAGTCCGAGTTAAACATGGACTCAAGTCAAATCATTCGCAACTCGTACCAAGGATTTGTTGTACTATATCTGATGACTTAATACTGACTTGTAATAAATAAATAAGGCAGCTATAAGGGATATGTTATTATTTTTAACCCTAGTTCCCGATAACCTGGCATTTCACTAACTCGGCACACTTCCAGTCCAAATTACGCCGAGTTTGCGGGACTCTACTGTATATATATATATATATATATATGTGTGTACGTTAGCACGATAACTCGAGCAAAAATTATCCGATTTCGATGAAATTTGGTACAAACGTGTAAACCTACGTTTATTCGAACGAGTTCGCAAACCAGCATGATCGGACCATGGGAACGGGGTTTTATTGGGGGATTTATGGGGTAAAAATTGGTTTTTCTCATTTTTGACCCTCAAAACATAAAATTTCCCAAATTTCCTCTAGACCGTTTTGAAGAGCTTAAAAAAACAAATAATTCAGTATATTGAAGTGTTTTTGTATGGTTATTGGCTACGGAGAAAATTGTAAATTAAAAATTCCCATGTTATTCTTATGGAGAATAAGTAAACTGTTGTAGTTTGCTTGTTTATGCATATATTTAAATCAAACTTGGCCAAACTATTTATTTTATACTAGGCTATTAATATTTTACTAAAAACACACTTTATTACCCTGTATGCAGCAAACCTAGGTACTCGTTAAAACCTAATATCATTTGAATAGATTTAATTGTCAATTGAAAATCAAATCAGGCAAATGGAAATTCGCTTAGTCTGCAGGTTTGCTGCGGCGGGGGTATTTGTCTATGGTATGAATTAACTAAATCCACCAAGTTTGATCAAAATATATCCATAAACAGCCCAACTACAACATTTTACTATATTCTCCATAAGAATAACATGGGAATTTTAAATTAACAATTTTTTGGAATTTTCTCCGTAACCAATCATTGTACAAAAAAACTTTGATATACTAAATTATTTTTTTTAAGCTCTTTAAATGGTCTGGAGAAAAATTGACAAATTTTGTGTTTTAAGGGTAAAAAATTAGAAAATCCCATTTTTCCTCCATAAAACCCCCCGTTAAATCCCATTCCCATTGTCCGATCATGCTGGTTTGTGAACTCATTCAAGGTTATCCCGCCTTACACCTTCAAACTAAATTTTATCAAAATCAGGCAAAAATTACTCAAGGTATCATCTGGACGTACACATATATATATATATATATATACATAATAATATAATATATATACATGCATAAAAATTTGAACGAATGGTGTTTTTGGCCTCTGTGGACATCAAAATGAAAGTGTAAATCGGTCCCGGGCCTAGGTCTTACCATAAGACCTACGGTAATAGCTACTTCCCTATAAGGAAATTTGCAAAAAGAACATCTATACTTATTTAATACGCAAGCAGGATTTTTGTGACAATTACTCCTCCGAAACTACTGAACCGATTGACATGTTTTTGGTGTCATTGGAAAGAGCGTAACGTGAAGTTGTGCAGGAAACTTTCTTTTTAGGTAAATAATTAGAGAGTGAGGCCCTGGGGCCCTTTAAAGTTTCGTATTTCTCCATAAGAATATCATGGGAGATAATTTTTATTTACAGAAACATATGTTTGTTACTTGAAAATAGTCAAAGTCTACTACATAATGATTGCTGTGTATTATGACTCTTAATGTATACTACATTTCAATCAAGGATTGTGTACCTTAAAGTTTACCCATAATGGATCTTACTACTTTATTTTAATGCTGGGAATAGTAAAATTTAGGTGAGAATAAGTTAACATGATTTAGAAAACTTTGCTATAATAATTTATGTATTTAATATCACAAATCTTTGACATTACCTATTAATTCATTTGAAACTAAACTGCTGATCGACAAATCAAACAAATCATCTACTTCATGTGAATAATGTTATTACACAAAAATAGTTTTTTTTACCAATAACTTGATTCTTTTTTTACTTGTGGGTGTATTTTGAGTTTGCAGTTATGAAAGCACCAAGCCAAGTAACTTTTATCTAATTTTCTTTATAAACTAACAGTATTATTGAATTACTACATGAACTTGACAAGTCAGGTAATTAATTGTCAGTATACCAAGGGGAAGAAGAGTGGGTCCTTGAAAACAGACGAAGGCTGAGACACCCATCTAGAAAATCCAACTGAGTTTTTAAATATAGAGGTCAGTGGATTGCTAAGACGCAGATTTAGACTAATAAAAGGGTGCACTGGTTTTATTGATGAGGGATATTAATATATCAAAAAGGGCCTTATTAATGGCACAAGACTTCATGTGATCAGAATGGTTAACAACTTAATAGAATGTAAAGTCTTAACTGGAACAAGGGAGTGGGGACATATTTTAATTTCGAGGATAAAAATTTACCCGTCTAAAACAAACTTAGCTTTAAAATGGAAAGATGCTAATTTCTGTTATCTTTGGCATTTGCAGTACAAGCACTTTAATTAAAGAGCAGCATGGTTCTACCCAGACCAATTTCAGTCATGAGCAACTATATTATTTGTTGTTTTAAGTAAGGCTACATCTTTTAATAGGACACGCATATTCGTTACGGAAAACTCTGACCAGGGTAATCTTTCTGAAGGTAACTTTATGACTCATGGAAGTGCTTTTGTGATAAAAACATTGTTTTTTTAGTGTTTATTTTTAAAAGTGTGCTTTCTTCAAAGCAGCATTTTTATGACCCCCAAAATATGCTACATAGGCTACCTATTGGTTTGATATAACAAAATGTTTTGTTAAATGTGTTTTCAAAATCTTAAAAAAATAACTACCCTATAGCCTTGCTCGCTGCCTATAACAAACTTGAACTTGAACACTTATTAATTTACTAAATATAATACACATACATCTAGAAAATGGCTGGACTGCTCCTCTTCTAAGGCTTTATGATTACTGTATTTAATTTTCGACGTCGAGTCAATATATAACACGATGAATTTGTTTCCTAAATTCCTATGTTATTTTGCGGGGCATTGAACCGCACAGGTTCACTAGTTATAAATAAAGTGACAAACAATATGAAGTGATAAAACTGCTTTGAGGTCAACTAGACTAGTTTTAATAGAAGCTGACTCTGACTTCAGCTTGAGTTCTTATAACTCCTATGATATAATATTACTGATATTGTAATTGTATCATTACCCTAGTAATATACTATGTAAACCTTAAACAAGCACTTAAAAAACCTTTTATGTGTTCCTCTCCGAACTGCTCAGTTCTCATATAACAGTATGCCTATACTGGTACTAGTATTTATTTGACAATGTTTGATTTGAATATTTATTGGTAAAACCATCTATAATGTTGACCACAGAGCTTGCTTTGTGATTATTTACCCCATACAACCCAAAAATAGTGTTTCTAATTGAATATTTATCATTTATATTGTTCAGGTAATCAACTCACGCACAATCAGCAAACCAGACAAGCTGAGGTCTATTGTACAAAAGATAGCGCTACAAATCAACTGCAAACTTGGAGGATCCTTGTGGTCTGTCAGAATTCCATTTGTAAGTAGAACACAGTTTGGGTTTTTAAAAACTTGTTATTAGGGTCTGGATAGTGTATTTATTGTATGTATTTCTACGGACAGGAAAATTGTAGTCAGTTGAAATGAAACCTTATTATTATTATAAATTCAGATCAACAGATGGATTGCATAATATATTATTAAGTGTGCAGTTTCCAGATATGCTTGTAAACCTATCATAGGAATAATCACAACATTCAAAAATACAATATCTGACAGTTTCAAGCCAAACCAAATATGTCTTGAAATTAAATGCCGGTTATAATTTTTTTTAATACTTTATACTTTATACTTGTAGGTATTTTAAGCCAAGTATGAATGGGGATGAGTGTAGGATGAGTGGCGCGATCTTGTAGTCTTGTTAGTGACTAAGACCGACATTCCTTAGACACAGCTGTTAATTAATAGCCCATACAGCTAATGGCAACCAAGAGACCTACAGTTTATAGTGGAATCCGAAACACATTTTTCGCCTTGGTATATACGAATTTGTCTAATTATCAGGATAGTACTACGGATAGTCGTAGTACTCACTCGTGCGGATGTTAATCCACACCAGGGAGTATCACATCCACAGTGCATGCCTATAAATATCCTCAATTTATTAATTTATAAGTGGACGGGTGATTTAATTTTTCTATTTGATAATCAATAATTAACTTAACATTAAACCGGTTCTTGGGAAAAGTACCGGTAGGCCTACTGAGAGTCGGTGTCGAAATTTGGTTGTGGATAATTGGGTTGGCCTACGTACCAAAAGGATATGGACCACAAGCCTATTTGGCTAGCAATATCAGCGCAATAGTGGTGAGTCTAAACGGAAAGTTTCACATTGGAAAAGCTATTGTTACGATCAATACAAAATGGCAAAGATCATCCGAGATTGTAGCAAGATCCGCGATCACCCAGTGCAGTTGTAATTTTTTACTTGACACAACAGCCTTCAAAACGCCGTTAATGAGTTGAAACCTCGATTGTAGGCTTTTGGCACCGAAGAAATGGAAGTTTCCCAGTGCTGTACAACACTGATTCACGGTCTTTTCCTGGTTATCAAAACTCATGTACAACTTGATACACACAGATTCTCCGGTTTCTGACCTGGATTATGGCTAGTTACCCATTTAATTTAATTTACAGTTGCATATTATTGTACTTGCGATCTATCAAACCTGTTGTGTAAGCCACACGGTTATTACATTAGAACCTCGCTAATACAACCTTGGATGGTCCGACTCATCGCTTGGTCTGACCGTGCTAACATAACCTCATTGTCCAAGAAAAATACCTAGACGATTTATAAATTGTGTTTCTTCAGTCTTATGTGTTGAAATTCGTTGTATATTTAATTATTAATGCTCATTATTTATAAATGCAGTAGGCTCCCACATTATTGTTTTTGAAAAATCACAGTTCATTAGACAAAAATAAAATGGAATCAAACATTGAACAAAGCTTCAAGGTCAAGCTATCTGTTTGCACTGACAATCCACAATCGTCTGCTCCTTGGGCCTCCACGTCTGTCTGCTGTGCACTTGCTATGTCCACAACCTTTTTCTGATTCTGTATTTGGTAACCATAACAACTTAAGTAGCCTGTGATTGGGTGAAAGTAACCATGGCAACTTGTTGAATCAATGGATGAAGAGAAACTCAAGAAAAAATAGAAGAACAAAGAGAAAGAATAAGCATATTTTTATGTCATTTTTATTTTTATCGGTGTATTTTATGACTGTTGTTATCATCTATAAGTTGGCTACTATTATTTCCTACTTATTTTATTCGTTATTTAGGCCTAATGTATTTATCAACATTCTTCTGTCCTGAAACAGCGTAGTAGTAGCCTATGACTAGCAGTAGCTTACTAGACCTTCTATTGTTCTGTTCTTTATTTCGCTGTACAATGTTTGGCAATTCGTTTGTTTGAGTAAAATTTTGGGAAAACGGATTTTAAACGTTTAAGTTTTTATTACTGAACTGGAATGGCTCAAAGGCATCCTCGTCGCCAAATTGGAATGTCCGTGGTTTAAGAATGAAAATGGAGTAATAAATACACATTTTACAGTAATAAATTGCCGCGGCCGATACGGGCGGGACTAACACGGAGATGGTTACATATCGGGAGCTGCTGGAAGACTGTGAGGAAAAGCCGGGAAAATAGGAGCGTGGTCAGGCTGTGTTGTGATTGGTCGGTTGAGGGTGGCGTGATGATCGGACCACGGCAACGGTTTATTTACTCAAACACTGCTATCATGATACATACATTGACAATAGTTATATACAGCAAGGTGTACTATATGAAATACACTACATTTCCTCCCCCTTAACTTTGATGACTATCAAATCATATATAAAATTGATAAAACTGTTTTGAATTAGAACATAAATATAACACGATAATTATCAGCAAAATACTCATCACACATTGTAAAAGAACACAACAATAGTTACACACATAATATAAAATCAATAAAATACTACTGAACCGTATGATATCTGAAATTCAACTCAAACCAAAAATTATACCATAATAATAATAAAAATCAATTGTAACACACAAATAAAATAATATAGAATCTGTTAAAACAATGAATAAACACAGCATACATAAATACATCATAACTCAAAACAATATCCAGAACATTTGGTTTTAGTACATATATTTTACAAGTCAAGTTTCGTGGTTGGTTTACGTTCCCGAGTAGGGTAACGTCGATCTACTACCGTTTGTTTTGGACTATCAGCTGTTACTATACTACGTGGAGTAGGAATGTCTGCTATGACGTCAGACTTCCGCCTAGTAGCGCTCGCGCGGTGTGGTGTATTTTGTTTTGGATTGGACTACGCGATTGTTGTGGTGGTGTACCTGGAACAGCTGATGCCCCCACTACTACTACTGGCCGTTGCTCACTTGACAGACCTGGTGGCAACAATGGTACAGACGCTTCTCTGTCAATACTAAAAGTGGGTGGTATACTGTTTACCCCTATTATTTGGTCAATATGACGCTTCCATATTACATCATTTTTCAACCTAACCAAATAAGACACTGCACTTAATTGTCTAACTACTACACCTTCTATCCACTTACTTCTACCCCTATAGTCACGAACAATTACTGGCTGACCCTCAAACAACACTCGGGTCTTACTTCCGCCATAATTCTGAATCTGTTTACTCTGTCGGTCATGTACAAACTGTGGTAGGTTTGGCCTGATCAAATCTAACCTACACCTTAATGATCTATTAAACATCAATTTTGCAGGGGTTTCGTTGGTGGTTAAGTGCACAGAATTTCTATAAGCTAACAAAAACTTACACAAAGATAAATCTACACTGTCGTTACTCATAATAGCTAGCTTAATTCTTTTCTTAACATTTTTGACAGAGTTTTCGGCTAGACCATTTGTAGCTGGGTGAAATGGTGGTGTCAATGTGTGTGTGATTCCATTAGATTTCAAAAAATCTTTAAATTCAAAAGAAGTAAACGGTGGTCCGTTATCAGAAACTATTTGGTGGGGAAGACCAAATCTCGCAAATAGTGGTCTGAGCTTAGCAATAGTTTGTTTGGCTGCCGTAGAGCTCACTTCTTCTACTTCCAACCACTTACTGTGAGCGTCTACTATGATGAGATACAATTTACCATTAATAGGGCCCAAGAAATCAACATGTAGGCGTTCCCATACGTTTTTGGGGTGTTCCCACACATGTAAGTTACACTTAGCTGGGCTCTGACGTACCATCAGACAGAGTGAACAGCTGTTAGCTAGATTTTCTATATCCGCATCTAGACCAGGCCACCAAAAGTACGATCGGGCCATGGCTTTCATCTTAACAATTCCGAGATGCCCACAATGTAATTCTGACAAAAGCAACTTCCGTAAATTTTGAGGTACCACTATTCTATGCCCCCACATAATGATACCGTTCTCAACAGCTAATTCACTTTGTCGCTGGTAGTAGGGTTTTAGATTCTCGTCAGTACTTGGTGCGTAGTTTGGCCAGCCATACAAAACATAACCTAAAACTTTGTTTAACACAACATCCCTTTTTGTCTCTTCTCTTACATTATTAAAATTAACAGGAATGTCATTTTCTTGAATGTATTGCAAATACGTGCCAACATAGTTTACATCGTCTGACTCAAAAGGAAAATCTCTTATATTTAAGGGCAATCTAGATAGGCAATCGGCGTTGGCATTCGCCTCTGACCTCACGTACTTAATGTCAAAATCGTAATTAGTTAGGAAGAGCGCGTAGCGCTGAAGTCTGCTGGCTGCGTACGCAGGCAACCCTTTCTTAGGTCCGAAAATGGACAACAAAGGCTTATGGTCTGTAATTAAGACAAATTTCCTACCATACAAATATTGGTTAAATTTTTTAACCCCATACACAATACCTAGTGCTTCCTTGTCTATGACACTATAGCCTACCTCAGCTTTTGACAATGTACGTGAAGCGTTACAAATCGGTTTCTCTGAACCGTCTTTCTGTCTCTGACTTAGTACACACCCTAAACCATAACTAGAGCTATCAGTAGCTAGGCTTACAGGTAAGATAGGATCGTAATGTGCTAATATTGGTGCTGACACCAATTTACTTTTGATTAGCTTAAATGCTTGATCACAGGTGGCTGTCCACTCAAAAACACTGTCTTTTCTTAACAAATTATACAAAGGGGCTGCGATAGTTGATAAGTGGGGTACATACTTGCCATAGTAATTTACCATGCCCAAAAATGCTTTTAGCTGTGACACGTCAGTTGGTATAGGAGCTTTCTCTATAGCACTTATCTTAGACGGTGAGGTACTTAGACCTTCCTCACTCAAAACATACCCTAAATATTCAATCGATTTACGAAAGAACTCACACTTTTTCTTGCTTACTGTCAAACCATTAGCTTTAAGTTTACTACACACTTCAATTAACCTCTCTTTATGTACCTCATTGTTCTCACCCGTAATCAAAATATCATCCAGGAAAC